GATACGGCCTTGAGGTAGGTATGGCCCAATTCACTCCCATTTGTGAATCTTCTGTGATGTCGGTATTTTTCCAGATGTCCTGCTGTGGCCAGGTTTGGGTCTGGCGTAACCATACTTCAAATCTCGTTTTCCGCTTGTCATCTTTGTTGAAGCTGCAAAACTGTTTTTGGTGAATTTGGGAAGAATGGGATGATATAGACAAGGAAAGTGGAGGAGACTGTGTAAGGCAGTGTAAAGAAAAGGAGACTGGGATCATGGAAGGCGCATGGTGACTGTAGTGGAGCAGAGCAGAACGACCACGTGGTCAGGTTCAAATGAGTGTGGAGCAGGGGATTGTACATGCTTGAAATTGAGCTCGGGGAACACCAGTAGGATGAAGAAGGGAGGTTATGGGAATGGGTCAGTTAGGTCGGTTGGAGGATTTGATAGACTGGTTGCAAGCTATTCCAAAATCAGGAGGCAATTAGGAGATTGTGAATGTAAAGAACAAGGTGAGAATGACCATGTGGTCAGGAGAGAAAAACTTGTTTGTGGCAATCAGAAGACATCTTTAGTTGCTTGTCACGATGATCCATTTACATTGTCCCATTTGTGTTAACCGTGTGCTTTTGTGGTTTGATTGTTTCCACTTGCCAGTGGCACTGAATTCGAAATGAGGGCATCACTGGTCCCCACTGCAGTTCCCTCTGAAAAGAGTCATATTGAATTGCTTTGGACTTGGAATCAATAGGAGGCTGACTTTCTCAGTGTCCATGTGTGTACACGAGCTTCAAGTCGCTATGAACTTCCAGCTGAAAGGGCGTCTCTTTTGACCTGTGCAGGGCCCCACCTCAAGTGGGAAAACCAGCTTGGTAGAGTACCTTGCAACAAAGACAGGCCATCGTTTTGTGCGCATCAACAACCATGAGCACACAGACATTCAGGTTGGCGCTTCCGTTCATCATCCCGTTTTTCTTGTCCGCTCCCATGCATTAGGGCCCTTGCCACACTGGGCACCAGATGTAAAAAGAAAATTGACAGCAGACGTATTTTGCCAGGTCGTATGTCAAGATGCTATCACCACTTTTGATGTCTGTTGCGTTTGATGTCTTGTTATTTGTGTGATGAGGCCAGTACATGGTGATGCCACAGCTCCTGGAGCTATCACCTTTTATTTTATACATAGTTTCAAGCTTGCAGATGTGCATTTGACAGTTTTGAGCACTGTTATTGACAGGGTTGGCATGGCTTTATGCGTTGCTGTAAGCTGAACGGTCTGGTGCTCGTTAACTAACAAAGGAGTGCATTCTCACTCTAGGACTTCTTTGACTGAATGTGGATGTGATTGAGTGGAAGGCAAGGCCTGTTGCGAGTATGACCGGAGAGTTCCGAGTTGTTGTACCTTGTGGATGTGATTGAGTGAAAGGAAAGGCCTATTGCGAGTGTGACCGGAGAGTTCTGCGTTGTTGTGCCTCGCCAGTAGAAAAGCCAACAAGAACATTCTCTCATAGCCTACTAAAGATTGATCACGTCTGTCGGGTTACATCAAATGAAGCTCTTGCTCCTTTGCCATCATATATATGACGATTGAAGCTTTTCTTTACACTATCTCTTGAAGTCTTCTTGGTTGCCATGTTCTTTCTTGTTGTTCCTGTACTCCATGCATTATTGACAATTAACTTGAATTAAGGTCTGAAACGGACAATGATGTGAATGAAACTGATAGTTCAGCTTTCATCATTTCTTGTTGGCCTCTTTGTTCACGGGTGCTCATGGGTGTAAGCAATATTCTCAATTGTATCTGCTCACCGTGACTCATGTTTTTTCTCCACACTTTCTATGCTTCACAATTCATTTACTCCAGTGAAAGAATCTAGTATCAAGGTGAAGTATGGCACCCACTTTTGCACTCCAATTCTCAGCAGTATCTTGATTTATTGCACTTTTGATGTCTACAGAGTCGATATGTTTTTCAAATGCCAAAGGGCCAAGACGAAGGACGTGGAGAAAGAATGTGTCAAGGAAAGCCCAGAATGACAAAACATGCAAAGAAAGAACGTGGCAACAAAAGTCTAGAACGAGAAAAGCATACAAAGGGAAGAATGTGGCAATGAAAGTTCGGAATGACAAGGCACACAAGCAAAGAACGTGGCAAGGAAAGCCCAGAATGCACTGCATAAACTGAGAGTAGCGACAGCTCTCTTAGGTATGACATGTCACCTGAACAGAACCCAAAGTTGTGATATTGGGATGTATCCAAGCGATAGCTGTCTTAGGTACGACATGTCACCTGAACAGAACCCAAAGTCGTGATATTAGGATGTATCCAACCGTAGCCTGGATGACAATTGTGGAAACACCCTTCAGCGATTGCCTGTGGTGTCCGAGGTGTGTGTATGTATGCCATCTATTTGGTCATCATTTTACAATTAAGATATGTCGTATTTCTTGACTGATGCAGGAATACCTTGGGAGTTATGTCACAGATTCATCCGGCAAGTTGGTTTTTCAGGTTGGTTGTCCGCACTTATGCTAGCTGTGTATAGTCCGTGCCAAGAACCGTATGAATAGCAAACCGAACTCAATTGTGTTTGTCTAATTTCTTAAGTGAAGCTGCATCCCTTTCACCAAACCCAACAGATTATTCGACTGGTGATCTTCTGTTTTGTTCTGTGGAATCTGAGAAGTGATTGACGTTATTCTTAGGCCAAAGGCAACAGGCCTCAGGGTGCTGCATGCAGGTTTATGAACTTTGACCAAACATACTGAGTTATCTGGAAAGTGCTGTAACTTAGCGTTAGTGACGAAGTCAATTCGCCTCAGTGCGAATCTCCTAGAAAATGCACAAATACAGTGATGGCTCTTCCAGGCTAACTTTCCCAGTGATGCTGTAATCCACTAACTTTTCCAGTGATGCTGTAATCAATTATCTTCTCAGCTTGTCCTGTTATTTGTTGGCAAGGTTGACGTTCTGATTCACCCGAAATTTCCAAACATCACCTGGCAGAATTTTTCCGAGACAATGGAATGCACGCTCTAGTTATCTATGATGATACAAGTAAACAATCAGTGGCATGTGGGCATATGCCATTATCGTTACATTGCCCACCAGGTCGAGAAGCTTTCCCGTGATGTGTTTTATCTACATTCTCGTTTATTAGAATGAGCTGCTCCATCCAAGGCTGACGGAGAAATGGAGAACTGCACTAAACCTAGACGCCACCATCCCCATCACCATCCCATGGACCAAATACCTTCTCATCAGACCAATCAGAATCCGCAGTATGCAATGGCTAATAGCACATGCAGCCTTTCCCGTCAACCAATGGCTACACATGAGGAGGAAACATTCCGACCCTGAAAGCTAGGATGGCTGCTCAATGTGCAGAAACAACTGACCTGAAGACATCCCCCACTGCCTCCTCTACTGCCCAGAAGCGGCATGGATATGGAAGAAGGTTCGAGAGCTGTGGTTGATCCTGTTTGCCTCCCCCCCCCCCTAACATCCTGCCCCTCTCCATTCTACTGCTAACTAACATCCCCAGCAACATCACGGGAGGTAGGGAAGTATGGTTCACCCTGCTCAGGAAGCTGGCACTGTGGGTGATATGGAAACGCAGATGCACCCAAACAATCGAGGGAGGAGAGGTGGCAAGGGAAGAAATGTGGTCATTACTGCTGAGCATGGCAGAGACGGAAATCAGGAGCAGATGGCGGAGAATAGTGAACTCAACGAGACTCAGACCAGAAGGACAAACAACCAGAAGCAGTCTTTCACGAGGAGCTGGCTGCTAAAGGGCAAGGTGGCGACGATAGTTGACAACAGGTTGAGATGGAAGAATTGGTACCAGGCACAGTCAAGACGAGTATAAGGTTTCCTGCCGGGCAAACCGGCAGAAGGGTCCGAACGGTGATCAACAACAAGGCGAACCGGACACAGTGAAGAACAAGGACAAGCAACAGAACACGCAGCAGACCCCCCCACTTCTCTCGTATTTCTAGGACTCATTTGACAGGCTCCGATTAGAAGCCTGAGAGGAACAGGGTTCCTTCGGCCAAAGGGAAGGAAGCGTTGAGTGGGTAACACGATGTACTTTTTCTGACTTGCCGGGGGAATAGGAACCGGACTGACACTCCCCAGAATGGAAATGGAGCCAGGACCATAAGGACCTGTTTTTTTTTTTTTTTTTTTTTTTTTTTCCAAAGAAAGGTTCACAAGTACAGGGTAGAAGGGACGTGAGGGGAGAAGGAGCTGTGAGTCAAAAGGAAGAGTCCATGGACACCACAGGAGGGGGAGGAAAGCAGGACATCAGCCAGCAGGGCAACACCCAAGGTGACGCAGAGTCAATGGAAGAAGATATGAGGGCACAAGCGTCACAAGGAGAACAATCAGAGGGAGCGGAGGAAGGGGACTGTGGATGCGAGGACGACGAGGAGGAGCAGGAATGGGATTCTATTGAAAAATGGGAACAGTGTGTGCGCTACCTGGAATGGGAGAGGAAGTTACAATGTGAAATCAGGCTGGCGCATCACAAACTCCTAATGCAACAGGCCACAACTGCAGCGGATGACATTCCCGGTGGAGAACAGCTTTGAAGTGCTGCAACAGAAGCAAGAGGTGAATGAATTCTATGCAGCTCGATATGGGTGGAAGGCACAAGCTATCAAAAACGACGTACGAGAGTAGGAGGAAAGGTACCACAAGCAGTTCGAATGGCCAGCAAGATATTAAGCAAAGGACTCCACCAAGAGGAGACGGAAGAGGAGAGCTCAGTCCGCCAAACGAGGGAGACAGCGAGGAAGTGCAGTCCCAGCCGGAAGAGGACACAAAGGAAGATCTGCGCAGACAGGCAGCCATCTTAGAGGCTCAGGTGAATGTGCCCGAGGACCTGAACGGGGAATTAAACGAGCAGAGCATCAATCTGCAGAAGATTGTAGAGGAAAAGCTGAAAGAAATCGAAGCCGTGTCCAAGTTGGAAGCTATGAATGCAGGGCAGCATAGAGTTGTACTATCATGCAGATGGAACGAGACACAAAAACTGGGAAATCGCAAACCGCAGATCCCTGGCCCTGCTCACAGTAGAAGACAGACAATGCACAAGAGGAGCCTTTGGAGAACTAATGATAGTATGAGAGACACAAAAACTGGGAAATCGCAAACCGCAGATCCCTGGCCCTGCTCACAGTAGAATTCAGACAATGCACAAGAGGAGCCTTTGGAGAACTAATCTCTGAAGGTCCGCTAAGGAGAGCGCTCGTGGTTGGGAAGGCAAATGATGAAAAGAAGAATGGGAGGACCAGAGCAGAATCAAACAGTGCGGAGCCGTCGCAGGTAGGTAAAAGTCCATAGGTACCATTAGAGGAAGTCCAGTCCCAAAGTGAAATTTTGCAGCAGCGTCCCAAGAACGTCCAGAGACTTCCGGAACACCAAATTTGGCAAGCAGAGGCTGCGGGCGACTGGTACCGGCTGGAATCAGGCACATACAGTCAACTGCAGCTATTAATAGCTGCTACAGTGCCAAAGCCAACATACTGTTCACTCGTGAACTTGCGGAAGGGCTGCTGGTTGCTTTTGTAGCAAGCGCTGGGAGGGTTAGGAGGATGAGGAGAACGGTGGCCACAGCTACAAGGTAGATCTTAGGAAGCAAGAGAGAGAGCTTGAGTGCAGAGAGGTTGAATGATACAAGACTTGAGCAAGGGCGCGCGCGTGCGAGAGAGAGAGAGAGAGAGAGAGAGAGAGAGAGAGGAGGGGGAGTCGAGCACATACCTGTGTTGAGATTGCAGCACTGAGTCCCGGCTGTGGCCGCTTGATTAAAAAAAAAAAAACAAGAACGAGCTGCTCCATAAAGGCTGAACACCTCGACAGCTCTTATCTGGTCATGGCTGTGCCGCTGCAATCTTTTGCTTTCGTGTGCATGTGCTTCACAAGCTCACATGTGACCCTAGCTTTGCCTTCGCATTTGTTCGGCCCGACATCAATGACGTAAACAGTGGGGGTGACCAGTGATCTTTGATTTCATCGATTGCTTTACAAAACCCTATAAGTACCGTCTTCACCCGAAAATAACGCCCAGGCGTTGTATTGAACTCAGTTGGTTTGAGCACGGAAGTGGTTTGCAGGAGGTAGTGGGTTCAATTCCCCATGTCGTCCATTCCATCCCCACGGCCTACTGTGATAGGCTTTGGGTTCTCCAGCGGAGATAATTGGCTTGGGCCTCCTGGCTGGCTGGGAAGCGACCATTTGCGCCTTCCAGCTCGCGCCTGGTGTTAGAAGCGTGGGTGCTGCTCCCCACACAGAGCAGATGAGGCTTCTTAACTTAGGAGAGATTTCCTGCCTTGGGAACCAAAGAACCCTGTAGTGGATTGCTAAGCTGCGTGTAGGTGGTTAGGTAGGTAGTGGGAGATGTATCGAGAGAAGAATATAGGTTGGTTAAAAAAAAATAAAAAAAGTGAAAGGGTTTCACCCAGAGCGCCTTGAACCCGCAACCTGTCCCTCAACTCATGTACAAACGTTTTACATATGTAGTCTGGGTCGTGTGGACTTGAGCCGAAGACCTACAGGTTAGTAGTCTTGGGGTCAGTCCTATAGGTTAGTCCTAAGTGTAGCAAAGGGTCAGTCTAGAAGCTACTACTTGGCTCTTCGAAGCTGTAAGGGTCAGTTGCTGTAACTGAGTCAGCAAGGTAGAGTCTAGTCCTAGCCTAGTCAGCAGTTCCAGTCTAGAGTCCCAGTCCACCTTGTCTAGTCAGCAAGTACCAGGTGGGGCTGTACACTCCTTGGGCCTGGGACCAAAGGCAGGCCAGACCACCGATGAAACAGTATAAATAAAGAGGCAGCGCCAAGCCATTCATTCATTCGCCTGTGAGACATGCAGACGCTGCTTATGCGGCTTGTGGGTTGGAGGTCTACAGGTGCCCGACGAGGAAGAGGGTGAGCGGCCATAGCCGCTAGTGGAGGAGGAAGACGACGGCGGCCATAGCCCCCCAGTTGATGACGTCAACAGATAGGTGCAGTGTGTGTGTGCACGTGGACATTAAGGGTGGATCCTATGCGTGTTTGCATGTGCGCGAGTTGCGTGAGAGTGTCTGATGGTGGAGAAAGTGTCCGAGGGGGAATTCAGGCTAGCGCTCAGCGGCCATAGCCGCCAGATGTGACAAGTTGACTTAAGCTGGGTTCCTCGGCAAAGGCCGTATTTCTGAGTTTTCTGTGTGGGCGCAGTGGACCATCACAAGCCTGTTCCTGATTCTGCATTGACGAAGTTGTTTTGCCATCGGCACTCACATGTATTCATGTTGCAAGTGAAAGTGAGACAAGTATGTTTGCAGTAAGCACCCAGGCGTTATAATCAGTAAATTGGTAGCAGCTTCGATGGCGCCCCAAATTACAGAAAAAAAAAAAAATTCTGAAAATTCTGTTAAAAAAAAAGGTGGTGTCTAATGCTATTCAAATACAATACCCGGATGTTATATCCGAAGGGGCGTTAAAATCGGGAAAGAATGAGTAAAACTGTAAAAACAAAAATCTGATTTTTAAGGGGTAAGTTGCCGGCAATGCCGGGTTTTATTTTCGGGTGAGGGCAAACCATATGAACAACTAATAACAGATTGTGCCTGTTGTGCAAACTTAGTCCGTTGCTGATGCTAGAGGACGACATTGTCACTGCTGGCCTTGCAGGAAGGTGTTTTGGTGGAAGCAGTTCGGAAAGGTTACTGGATTGTCCTGGATGAGCTGAACCTGGTAGGTTTTCATCTCCGCAACACCCATACAGTCTGAAGGTTGTGTATTTGCTTGTCTATTTAGCCTGTCAAGCATGTCAGACAGGTGTCATTGACATCATAACATATGCTGTTAGCATTCCACCTCTCGAGCACCGATGCACCCAGATGGAGGTGCCGTTCGGATCATGCAATACCCTTGGTATTTCCCACATGAATTCCTGCTGATTGTGTCCTGTTATAACTGGTCAGTATGTTTTGCTCTTTTATGCCTCTATGCTTAGCCTCCCATGCGTTTCTACTAAGTCTGTCAAGCATGCCAGACGGAGGTGCCATTCGGATCATGCAATACCCTTGCTATTATGCCTACTGATTGTCCTGTTATAACTATTCAATATGTTCTGCTCTTTTATGCTTCTATGCTCAGTCATTCCCATGCAGAGGGTCAGCTTTCTTGCCCATGCCAGAAGCCATCCTGACATTAGTAAAGCATAGGAATCTGTGCAGGTCTTGTTAGACCAGCATATTTGATGGTGTGGGCATTTTACATATTGTTTACGAGAGCTTGGTTTGAAATCATCGACATGGGGATGAAGAACCAGTGCATGTAATGATATATGAAAGGCAGAAATGAACGACTCTCATTCACGGTTTGCTGTACCACAAGCTTTGTGATAAGGTCAAAAATGTCAAATGCTTATGCCCGCCTTGTTTACGTGCACTTGTGCCCCCAGATTAGGTGATTGATGAAAGAGATCCCCCCGTCCTTGTGCCCATCCTTTGATAAGGACCTCTGAGATATCATGCAGAGGTTCTTTTTTTTTGTGTATGCGTCTTCTGACTCTTCTCCTCATATGGGGGACATGCTATTTTCTCTCTCAGTATCATACCTCGCACTACCTATTCGGACAAGAAAGGGATCAACCGTATTTTTACCCTGCAGTACCCCGAGCAACCAAGAGAGACCATGCATTGAACAGAAGGCAACCTTAGATCTATTAAGCCATAGCTAAACTATCCTAAAGTGATGGCTCTTCGCCTACCTAACTGTGCTCTGTGTGGGGGGCAGCACCCAACCTCCTAACGCCTGGTGCGGCCTGGAAAGTCGATGAAAACTTCCACAACCAGCCAGGAGGGACAAGCTGACTGTCTCAGCCTGGTGAACCCGAAGTCATCTTTACGTCCCTTACTACCTCAAGCAGCCTGGCTGATGAGCAACATACCCTGTCTGAAGTTTGATTACTCTTTCAGTGCAGGGAAATGAGGTAGCACTGTGCAAATCTTTCCTAGCTCTTGGCCAACCTTCAGTTCTGAGGTTAAAAGTAGGCCATACAGTCTCTAGACATGCTCTAGAAAGTGCTTAGTTCAGTAGGCCTGGGGGCGAGGCTAGAGACGAGGCATTCAGGGGCTGTAGAAGTCAGTCTAGGCTGTACGAAATTCAACAGTCATGTCACTCTTGTCACCTCAGCTAAAACCCAAAATGGAACTCTTTTGTTTTATTTTCCCCCCTTCAATCCACCAGGGGACCACCACTACCTTTCCTATACATTGGCCACACGGGCTAGGCCCCGGGAGTTTCGGAGGCCGATATCAACTGCGGTCCAATGGCGGCCCTGTCCCCACAGAATGCGGTGTGGCATACGGGGATGCGGGCAGCTTTTTTAACTTCATCAACGTGACAAGCCTTGTACGTGAGAGGCACACTGAAGGGGGAGTTAAAAGAAGAATGAGAAAAATGAATAGTTTGTGTGCCCCTCATCTTTGTTTTTGTTTTTTTTCAATCTTTACCGTTTGTTTTGCAAAGTGCGCTCTTTTAGTTCATAGTTATGTGCGGGCTTGCACCCCCCGCCGGTCGGCGGCCCTCGACTGGTTGGCTGCCGACCTGCCGACCGATCGGCTGGTCGGCACCTACCGGTCGGGGGTCGTAGGCACCACGCAAAATAATAATAATAATGATACAAAAAAATCGGGGTCCAGAACCCCTAATAACACCACCAACACTCCCATAGCGGCCCCCAATACCCCCATACACCCCCCCAACACCCCCAACCCGCCCCCCCCCCCCCCCTCCCCCCCCCCAACCCCCCCTATATCACTCTTATACCCCCCCCGCTATATCACTCTTATACCCCGCCTATACGCCCCCTATACCACCCCCCACCCCCCCACGACACCCCCATAACCCCCCCATCCCCAAAAGTTTCTCAGCGGATTTGAGCTGTAGTCAGCAAGTGCAGTACAGCCCCCAACTCAGATTTGAAAAAAAATCAGTGGATGGTGGTTTTCTGACTGGTCAGCAGACCGCCGACCGGTCGGCCCTACTGGTCAGCTGCAATACATTTGGTGGTCGGCAGGGATGCAACCCTGGTTATGTGACAATGTATTCCGCTTTTCCCAACTCTGTGAAAGCTAGTGGAGGCTTAAGAACAGGTCCTTATGGCCCTGGACAAGTTTCCATTCCGAGGAGCATCAGTACAGTGTTTTTTCTACTGGCAAGTCGTATCTTTACAACGTTTGCACACTCACGCTTCCTTCAGTTTTGCCGAAGGACCCATGAACAGCATTAATTGTCCTACATTGGAGGATTGACTGTCAGCTTGCCATTCTGTTCTCACTCCTCTCAGACCCTCCCCCAGCGTCTGTCTGATAAAGTTGTACGTGCAAGAGTGAAGTTCGGCAGTCTCCATAGCTCAGCTCCAAGTTGTGGTCTATAAAATATTGCTGCAGCCTGTATTTTATGTCCAAATGGGATCCTGGGACTCGAGCTGCTGGCTATCCTTTCTTGCCACGGATGTTGATCCCCGTTCCTTGTATTATAGCCACCTTGCCTTTTGCCAGCCATGTACACTGGAACTTCGCTTTTTGTCGCCTCTTTGACTCCAGGTCAGCTTGAATTAGCAGTTTCACCTTACGCCATTTACACAGGACTTCTGCCTCGATGAGATTCTTGGTTTCTGCTCAAACCTTTTCTCGACCATTTGCACATTTCTTTCCAGATTGCCCATAGTTTCGCCTCAAGTACCATATCCCTTCCGGCTTGCTGGAATCAGAGGGGATGTTTCTCCAAAGCTAGGCTGTGCCGACAACTGGGGCGGTTGGACCCCCGTTGGTCCGACCGGAATTCCGGTTGGGCCCAAAAGTGGGTCAGTTTGATTTATTATTTTTTTGAACACGTGGTTGGACTGCGCTCACCGAGATCTCCCTGAATCCACAAAGAAAACTTTGAACAGAGAAGTTTCGTTCAGATTATTTCAGGTGTTGGGGGTCGGGGGTTGGGGGTTTATGGTGAGGGTGTTAGTGGTGGGGTTTCAGCAAGCACAGGCTTCGGCAGACATTGACAACAGCGTACCTGGCTTTCTCCAAACCCTTCCACCCAAAAACTTTGAAAAGGCCATGAGACCGGTCTGATTTTTGGCGGGCCTGGCTTTGTGCAAACGTACCTGGCTTTCTGCAAACATTAACTTTCAAGCCTTTTTGGCACCTGGCTTTCTGCAAACATTAACTTTCAAGCCTTTTTGGTGGGCCTACCGGATACGGTCTGATTGTTTTTAGGCCAGGAGACCTCCATGGCCTTCGTGGAGGCCTCCTGGCCCAAAAAAAACCGTTAAGACCCCCCAGATTGGATGCGCTACAGCCCCTTGGTGTTTGTCACTGCTCTCTGGTCCAAGTAGGGTGATGGTCCTGAGTGCTGGTCACGCGGAGGTAGGATAGTAGGGATAGGGAGTGCGCTGGAAGTATTTAACATGGGGAAGGGCAGGGAAGGTGTCCTATACTGGTAGGGAAGGTCCTACCGGGTTTACGGCCTAACTCCAAAGCAATATCTGGATCGGGTGTTCTGGAAGGAGGGAACATGATATGAGCACGCTAAGCAGAGGTCAGAGCTGTAAGGATCATTGTTCTCTCTTCTTATGTGAAGAGGCTGGGCTGCATATGTTATGAGCCATTGGAGGCTCCTGATTTTCTGACTTATGATCGGCTTGTATTTGTGCCAGGGTTTTTGACAATCTGCTTGGCTTCATCCCCAATCAGTCCGTTGTTTTCTGTTAATTGTGGGTGTTGGGTCTTTTGTCTTCAGTAGCGTTTTGTAGCCTATTCTCATGGGGTTCTCTTTTTGAAATTTCCAGGGGCCCTCCAGCACCACTCAATTGGGTCAAATTCCAGGTCTTGAATAGCGGTTCCTATCTGGGAGATGGATTTTGGCAGAGTCCCAGGGTCCGTAGAATGCTTCAATTATTTCAGTTTTAGGTTCTGAGTTGTTGATTTTTGGGGATCCTGGTTTTGAGAGGCGCATGGGGAAAGTCGGGAAAACTGCTCGGTAATGGTTAGGTCCCAGTGTATGGGATAACTGATAGGCTTGCTTTGGTACTGCTTTGTGCTTGAGACACCCCACTCTCCTGATTTCCATGTGATGTCCTCCTTGAGCCAGGCAATCCAGCTCTCTGGGATGGCTTGCTTTGGTACTGCTTTGTGCTTGAGAACACCCCACTCTCCTGATTTCCATGTGATGTCCTCCTTGAGCCGGTCAATCCAGCTCTCTGGGATGCTGTTGATAATGCATCTCGGATCTCAGATTTTTGGATAGGTTGTGGACTGCGGGTAGGTGTTTTCTTAGTTGCCGCTCTTCGATCCATTCCTTTTTGTCATCATTCCAGATATGGCTTATATTTCCCAGAAACCTTCAGATATCCATCATAGCCACCTACCATCTTTGTTTGTTAATGTCTAGGGATGGTCACCCCCAGCCCGTGTTCACATATTTCCAAAGAGGTTGTCTCAGGACTTCCTCTGTCAATCTCGGTTTGTGGGTTCTCCGGGGCAGTAATTCTCCCAAGATTTTCAAGGTCCAGTAGGGTACAGGTGTCTTGTCTGTAGCCACTGCCTCATCCCTTGGCGTTCTATTTTGTGGAGCGGGTTTCTATAGGAAGAAGTTGAGCACAGGCTCTAACGTGTACAGTAGTCAGACAGTCAAAGGACTCTCCAGAAGTCAATCATGGCCACAGATCACATGTATCTGAAGGCCAAGAATCTGTGCCGGAAGCATCCAAGGCCTGCTGGGTCAAGGCACATACTGGCCAGGGTGAGATCTGGGATGCACAGATCAAAGATCTCGGCTGTTCTAGCAGGCAACTGGACGCAGGGCCAGCTGTGTCAGCACCACAAAGACTGGCCTGCCTCAGCTCAGGCATTCATCTCTCTTGCACGTGCTGGATGTGCTGGAGCGCTACCCTGCAGTAGCGGTAGAGGAAGGCAGAGCTGAGAGAGAGAGTGAGAGAGAACTTCAGCCATAGCTAGAGTAGGAGTCGCTCATGCATTATAGTTGGTGTGTGTGTGGGTGAGTGGGTGCGTGTGAGTCTGTGTGTGTGTGTGTGTGTGTGTGTGTGTGTGTGTGTGTGTGTGTGTGTGTGTGTGTG